GTGAAGTTTTCAATCCCTTTAATAACAGATTGGGATGACGGCAGATAATCATAAGAATTTAGGTTTGAAATTTTCATTTTGTTGATATAAGATAGTTTTGCTGTCTACCATTGATTTCTTCACAGATTGAAAATTGTGGTTTTTTGATAACAAGTGTACTTCTAATGATTCATTGTCAAAAAATGAATCAGTGCAACCAAATTGTGTACAAAACTTTAAAGTGTTAACTCTTCTATCAACACGTGGTTTTTTGGAAATTGTTGGGGCAGTATAAATTTTGCAAGTCGAACTAAAGGGCTTAACAATTTCAACTGAAGTATGGAATGTCACATTTGTATAGTTCCATTTTTTACCTTTACCAATTCGGAAGTATCTCCACATTATCATGTGATCAGGGAAAAACTGAAAAGAATGATAACTGCTTATGTTGGGAATCAGATTTGATCCTGATAAAATAGAGGCTTTGGAATTTATTATAACTACAGCAACATCAGCGTTTTGAATTCCTTTACCATTATGAAGAGTCTCATAAAGATCTTCTGCAGTCAAGAAATTGTTTCCTGCGTCAACAAAACTCCTAATGACACATTTCGCTCCTGCTGACTCTCTATCACATTGATCTTTTCCACGCGAAGGCTCGTTGTAATCATACCTTTTAAGGAAAAATTGTTTTGCTTTGCAAACATTGTAAAGGGCTTCTAAGTAGAAGTTTCCATAATAAGATGATGCATTATCTGACTTAGCATAAAGATTCTTTAAATAAGGAAAATCATTTTTAACTTTGGCCAAAACAACATCAGCGAGACAGAGTACATCAACAAGGCTTTGCTCACATCTATATACAGCAGTAAAATACACTTTTTTTTTTTCATTCGACCATTTTCATAGAAGAAGAAGACATCAACATGTAGAGTCATTCCTTTTTTCCCAAAATATTCTTTTTGGCCTTCACGGAATTTAGCGGGCAATATTTTTTGACAAAAATCTTTTAGCCAAAATCCTGTTTCCTCATCAAGTTGCTCAAAAGCCATTATTTTGGCCATTTTTTGCTGCGCATCACGAATTTGATGTTTCATATAGGCTTCAACATCTTCTGTAGCCACATTTAAATCATATAGTAGATCTTCATCTTCACTTTGTATAACCAACTCACGAACCTGATTCATTACTGAAATGAGGTCAGTACAGTCAATGCATTGTTCATCGTCAGCGGTTATGTTTGATTGGTTTAAGTCCGGATCTATATCCGAAAGGGCAAATGAAGTTGAGTGACTATGCAAAGTTGAATTTTCACTACATTTGGAAGGATAATTACTCTTCAGATACCTTTTACCTTTTTCAAGAAACTTAGTAACATTTTTATATTTCCACTTCTCAGAAATAGCAATTAATGTTTGGAAACCGTTCATGCCAGCTGCTGTAACATCATCAAGACCAGCTAAAGATTTCCTTTGAGAAGGTTTTATTCCACAAAGAATTCTCCATAAAGAACTATCTGACATAGGGACATAATTCGTTTCTAGGCAAATATCTTTATAAAATGTGATTGTATGGCTAAACTTCATCATCAAAATGGCATTAGCCACTTTTTGTTTCTCTCCGTTGTCAAACTTTATTTTATTTATGCCATATGCTACATCTTGAAGCAGACCTCGAGAAAATAAAAATTCCAAAAAATGTTCAATTTTTTCTTGAGGCATTCGGCATATTTTTACCTTACCCTTCTTTGGTATGGAAAGTCCAATGTTTTCTTTCTGCAACTTGCGTCCTTTTTCTATTTGATGTTTTTTGCAATCAAAGACTTTCATTAATGTCTCTTTAGTGTACTTATTATGATTAACAACTGAAAGCAAAAGAATTTTTCCTAAAGAATCGCTTTCTTGGAACATCTTAACTTGTACAATTAGGTCTTCTGGAACCATTTCAGTTGCAACATTTTCATCTTCACTGTTTAATACTTGGGTTATAAGTGCTTCTGATTGACCAGGTGCAATTGCTTCAGCAAATATCTTCTCGAGCTGCACTTTACATTTCTCAAATTTTTTTTTAACTTTCTGTTTAGTTCCTTGTGTTAAGTCTTCTATTCGCTTTTGCGTTATGTGAAAAGACAGTGGACTTGCTCCTAGTGCTTCACACAAAGAACTAGCTTTTAATTTTGATTCTTCGATGGTCTTATCTGAAATGATTGCTAAATCTGGAACATAAACTTTATCAATATAAGAACTAGACTTTACTGTTGGAATTGGTTCTATCATGTCAATAATATTATCTATAGAAATAGTTTTCAGGTGCTTGAAGCAAAATACGGCTCCAATAGGTAGCGATGAATTACTTTTATTATAAGTAGTAAGGGTATTCAAAGGTATGGATCTAATTTTTGGTGCTTTTTTACCAACTTGAAATATATGACTTGGGTATTGACATCTGTTTGGCGGCTTCCATCCAATACCAAAAGAAAAACGGTGGTATGCACATAACCAGTCGTCGCATGAAAGATAAGTTTGTAATCGACTTTCAATTAGAGTTTTTTCATTATACTGGTTTGTCTGCGGTAACTATAAAATAGTAATGTTAAATTTGTCATCTATTTGTTGGAGGTATTGTTGCTTATAATTAAAAGTATATATATTAATTAATAAATTATACCTTTAGTACTTGTAAATGATTACTTATGTCAGCAGTTAATTCATTAATTTGAAAGATCCTATTTTGTTTCCAATGCTTAAAAGGGCCACAAGAAGTCTGTCCTTTATCAAAATACACGCATTTTTCATTGAGACTGACTATATTGCTCTCTGACATTTTGTATTTAACTTTTATTTTTTATTTTATTATTTTTTATTGAATAAACAAAAGATAACAAAACAAAAAAACTTTATTTCGTAGTTTCTCATCTCATGCTATGGCTATTTATTAAATTCATGTGCTAATTCTTCGAGAAGAATATGTCTCCAAGGAAATAGTCTTGCAATCATTAATAATTGTCTAAAGAAAGTATTACAAATGACTGCCCAAAGGGAATTGCTTGTGTAGCAATCATTACAGTCATTAAAAAAAGTATCTTTAATGTCACTTCCTTACTTTGATTATTACACTTTTGCCATCGCATTCTTTGAACCTATTGTTGCGCATTTTGATACATTAAAAAAGCTTAAAAAATAATTTTTATCAAACACTTTTGTACAGTTTATACAGTTTTGTTATAACAATGTATTTTTTATTTATTTTTAATTTGAGTACTAACTATTAAAGAGTAAAAGTAGCCGTTGCTAAGCATATCTATGTCGTTGCTAGGGTATTTTATTGGTTAAGAATATGGCAAAATTAGACTATTTCTAGGACTACTCTAGGCTTTTTATCGCTTGGGCACATGGATTTTTTTTCAGATATTGGAAGATGCATGTATAAAGTAACGAAATAACTTATACGTTTCATGGCAGACCTAAGGCCACGATTGTTATTTGTAATCTAACAAAGCGTATTAAGCGCGAAAATTCATTTTTGGAAGCTTACTCTTTCTCAGGCTCTTGCATACTCATAATTTTTTTTCTATAAATTCAATGTATACCTTATTGGCTTTCAAAAACAGTTAAGTAAACTATGTGCAAGTAATGGCCTTAGGAGATATAAATGGTCAAAGTACGGGTAAAATTTCAAATTTAGCGGTTTTGAACCGTGATTTCTAGACAACAAAAAGTGTAAAAAACGTCATAAAATACGCGATGTATGTATACATAATTCTAATATACAAATCCGAAGCACCTATTTTGTAGGAAAACATAATTAAACACTTATTTTAAAAAGAGGAAAGGCTGAACTTGCTATTTCCACTTGAACACTTTCAAAAATCACTTTTTTTTCTATAATAATTAACCTTGAAGTTTTTAAACACTGAGAACTAAAAATTTATGTATAAATGTTAAAAAGTGTTCACATTCCATTAGATTCCTCAACCTTTTTTTAATATATACGGAAAATTTTATAAAAATTGGATTTGTTTTGGTACTTCGGAATCCTTTCCTCTAAAAGCTTCTTTTTAAAAAAACGTTCCCGCTTCAAGATTTTTTCTCAAAAGTGGTCTCAAGATATGGATAACATTTACAGGGCCGTGGAGAGCTGGTACCGGGCCTGGGGTAATATCAAACTGACGGGCCCCCTCAGGGCTTAGGGCTTCAGACATATGAATAATACTACTTTTGATACAAATAATTTTTTAATTTGACTATGTACAGTATTTTATTTACAAGTATATTTTAAATACAATACAGTGAAAAATTATATATAATTTAACTACAACAAAATTAAAATATATAAAACCTGTAAGTTAGATTAAAACTATCCTCGCTTTCCTACTGGCAAAATCAGCAATTACACTGTCAAAATTGATCTTTTTTGCTAAATCACACTCCATCGCTAAAATTCCCAAGCCAGAAACTCTACCTTGCATCATTGTTGATCTTAGATCATTTTTTATAAGCGCCAGTCTGCTAAAAGACCGTTCAGCTTGTGCTACCGTTACTAGTAATGTACAAAAAATTCTCAGGCCAATACAAATGTTGGGGAAAAGACATATAAGTTTCAGGTCGTTGATTTTATTGAGAAGAAGAATCCAAATCATTTTTGATGTTAACATCATGGATAAATTTCAAATGCAAAAGCTCATCAATCAGCTCCATGGAAACATCATCCTTGTATTTATTCACAAAATCCTTACTCCTTCGGCGAATTTCTTCCTCTTCGTAATGATTATACTTCCAGAGAAAGTTAAAAGTTTTGTCAATTTCATATGCAGCTTCATATCGTCTACTGATATTCCCTATAATGCAGTCCAATAATATATAAAAAACGTTTTGTTTAAAATTATTTTCAGAATTTGATAGAGAAATTTCATCAGGTGTCTCATCAGCAAATCGCTTCCTAATTTTTCGTCTAGGTTCTGGAAGTTCTTGAGAAATGTTTAAGGTGCTTGCAACTAATTTACTCTCCACCATAATAGAATCCTATTTATCTCGAAGAGTTTTTAATTCATCAATTAGTCGTTTGATGTTGGTCACTTCTACATCCAGTGTAGCATTCTGTGCTTGCAAAACAAGATTGGTGTAATTGATAGCAGTAAGTACTTTGAACCATATAGTGGACATCAGAATGCATTCAAACGATTCCATATATGAAATAATCCCATTCAGATCAGCACGATTTTCTATAGACAAATTTAGGTTCCTTATATCAGCTACTGATTTGATTATACCAGGAAGGTAGGTTGCGAATAGCTTAATGCAGTCTACTCTAGCTGACCAGCGCGTTTTGGACATGCTATGAAGAGACGAACCAATATTTTTATAAAAAATTTCCCATCTTTGAGGACTACTACTAAATATGTTATACAGTTTTTGCACTATCCCAAAGAAAGTTATCACTTGAGGACAACATTCAGCAGCTTGTGCACCGCATAAATTATGACAAGCACAGGGAGAGTAAGTAGCAAGTGAATAATGTTGAAGAATTCGAGCTTGTGCTCCCTTGACTGAACCTTTCATATTACTCCCATTGTCGTATCCTTGTCCACGACAGCACATCAGTGATATTTTATGTTTCTGAAGAGTAGAAATAATTATATTTGCAATATCTTCACCAGTTTTTTTATTGCAATCTACAAATTCCAGAAATCTCTCTTTTACCTCATATTTTCCTGTCAATTTGTCCTGTAGGACGTATCTTAAAATAAAAGCATTTTGCTCAATATGAGCTGTATCAGGCGTTGCATCCACAATCATTGAAAAATATTTGCATTTCTCCCTCTCATCTAATATCACATCTGTGACTTTATCTGCACAGCACTGAATAAACTCATTCTGAATATCATTTGACAAATAATGTGCTTACATTCGCTTATGGTTCTGTTGAGAAATTTTTACTTTTTCGAGATGATCATGTAGAATGGAATCGTAATGACCAAAAATAATTCCCAAAAAATTCCCATTTTTGAGGTCACCAATTAGATGACTATCGCCTCTAAATGCAAGACCTCTTTCACCCAAAAACAAGATAACATCTAATACTCTACGAAGTATTTGCCTCCATCTTTCCACTTCTGTCTTTATATTATCATTTAGTAGAAAATTGATAGTTGTATTATCTCTGAGATTTTCTTCTAATCGTCTCCATTCTACATAACACATCTTATGCCCACTGCTGGATTGATGATGAGGAATTTTTTCATAAAGTTTCTTCCATTTATTGTCCTTGGGCTTGGAATATCCTGTTGGCAGAGATAATGCCGATCGATGGGTTTCTGGCATTTTAGAGAAAAGTCGGCAGGGAAAACAGTAAAGTGCATTCTTCGTCTCACTCCACGTTAGCCAATCTCGTGGAAATTTCGCCATTTGGCATGGCAATGTGAAATAACGTGCGCGGAAATGATTTAGGCAATGCATCTTTTGGAAATTTTGTTGGGTGGGCAATGGGTCCATGATGAACAAATTTTTCTATTTGTTCAGCAGTGCAAAATAATTCCTTAATTAAACCAATATCATAGTTATTTGATGGAACTAGTTGGACATCATCTGCCTTGTCTTGTAATTCTTCTAGCCTTGCAGTTGATGTCTTTGGAAGAATATTTTCATTTTCGTCTATTACATTCTCTTTCACATCAGCACTCATAACTTTCCTATTTAACAATTCATCTTCCTCAATTGGCACTGGCTCTACTTCAACATTTGAGAGTTGTGACTTCATCTTGCACATCTGATCCTCAGAAACACCATCAATACGATTACAATTTATAAATCCAAAAGACTCAATCGTACTTTGACTCTTCTTGGCTGATTTTTCTCGAGCAATCTTTTCTTTTCTTTTTTGAGCACCAGATTTATGCTGGTAATGATCCATAGCTGCATGTAGTAGGCTGCCTATGCGAGGTCCTGTAACAATAGAACAAAAATTTATTAGTTAAGTTAATAAGTAAATTGACAAATTAAAATAAATGACAATTAATAATTGTTAAAAGTTAAAATAGATAAAATAGTTCAGTTTAATGTACAGTACAGTATATACTGTATAAATAAAATAGATATATGTATATAATATATATATATATATATATATATATATATATATATATATATATATATATATATATATATATATATATATATACATATATATATATATATATATATATATATATATATATATATATATATATATATATATATATATATATATATATATATATATATATATTATTTAAATGAAGAAAAACAACATTACAATAGTACTTAAAGTTTCGTGCCTTTTGGCAATCATCAGCTATTAATTACAAATTAAAAATTAAAAATTAACGTTAAAAAAACGAATCAAAATTTTACAGTAGAACGAGTTCTGAGGTAATTTGAAAAGGCGCAACCATTTAATCTCCAGTATCAAACGAAGATAACAGGAATTTATTTAAATGTCGACATTTAGATAATATTTTGTCTTTTTTATTAAGCAAGTTGTTTCCATTAAAAGATAAAATTTCTTACTTCTCATGAAAACAAAGTTTGCAGGTTTTATATATATATATATATATATATATATATATATATATATATATATATATATATATATATATATATATATATATATAGTATATATATATATATATATATATATATATATATATATATATATATATATATATATATATATATATATATATATATATCCCCCCGCTCTCGTCGGGCCTGAATATTTAAGTAAAGCCATATAAAGCATAGTACTTTTCATATATGGCTGAAAAGAGGTTGAGTAACACTAATTGATGCAAAAAACCTGAGGTTGCTTGCTTTCCTATACAAAAAGATATGAGAGAGCAAACTTCATGAAAATTTCGTGTTTTTTGTCAAACGTCAAATGTTTTTCGCTTAGCCGTGGAATCGCAATATTTGTCGTTTTAAAAAGACTTCTTTTATAACTGAAAAAAAAAAAATTTTTTAATGCGTTACTTAAAAATTTTAGGAAGTTTTAGCGCTTGCGCGATTTAACTGATTTTTTTTTTTATTTAATAAAACATTCTGGATATTTTTGACGAAAAAAATATTGGACGAAAAAAATATTGGACGCGAAAAAGACGTTCTAAAGACGTTTAGATTTTTAATGGGACGGACGGACGCCATTTGAACGTCCTTAGGACGTCTTTTTTACGTCCCGTGCCCACTGGGATAATTTTGCAAATTGAAAATTATTATTTTATAAACCTTCCATCGCCTATAATTAATAGCCTATGAATATTAATGCGCGTAGTTACGCGTATTGTTTTATAGTTACGGTACGGTTCTGTATCTGTAAAATACACTTTTTTAAGTAGTTTCTAGACTTTTCTTTACCGCGTGCTTACTTACAGATTTCCCTTCAACCTTTCATGGTACGAGTTCAAAATATCTAAGTTGACATTAAGTAGATTATGTTTAGTAGCTTAAAATTATAGGTAATCTAAATTTTTTTTTAAATTTAAAAGTAATTAATTTATTGTAATCTTTTTTAAATTGTAATTTTAAATTTAAAGCTTCGTGTTATAGATTACTTTAATTCTTAATTTGTGTCTAGCGTTAAAATATATTTATGGGTAGTTTCATGCTTTCACTTAGTTTTGGTTATTGGGATAAAAGCCATGACAACATTTTGTTATAAATTTATCTTAATTTAATTTTTATTGAAAATTTTGTTATAAATAAAATTTGTCTTAAATATTGTTAATACTTTAGCTCTTTGAAAAAAAATATGTTTCTGGCTCTTCAATAAATATAAAATTATTTGTCTTGCATGAATGAATTTTGGTTTAGGATTTAATTGTGTTAGTTTATGTTTGTCTATCTGTAATTTATTTAGGTTATTAGAAAATTCATGTTTACAGAGTTGTTATAAATCATAATCAAGTTGTTAAACCAAGGAAATTGTGAAGGTTTATTTATCATATATACTATATATATTATATAATTATATTGGAGGGAGTAAGTTTAGAGGTCTTTTTAAATTTTTAAAAAGAAATAAAAATACTTTTCAATATATATCTGTTTTCTTTGAGGTAGAATTAAAGTTTCAGTTTTTTAAAACTTTAAATTAACTTTACAATGTTAAAATGGTTTAAACGGATTTTTGTAAATGAATTTAATCCTCAAAGATTAAATTTTTTTTATTATAGAAGAAATTAAACTAGATTTAAGAATAAGTCGACTTAAATGTTTGTTTGTTTTTCTATTTAGATGATGACAATATTGAAGCAAGTAAGTTAAGAAGCATTTTTAAATTTTTAAAAAGAAATTTTTTCTTTGTTTTCTTTGAGGTAGATTTAAAGTTTCAGTTTTTTAAAATCATATATATTTTAAAATCCTATATATAACTCATATATCTTTGTTTTTCTATTTAGACGTTGGTAATAATATGAAACAGGTAAGTTATAATGCATTTTTAAATTTTTAAAAAGAAATAAAAATACTTTTTATTATATATCTGTTTTCTTCGAGGTAGATTTAAAATTTCAGGTTTTTAAAATCATATATATTATAATATTAAATTCTTTTTTACTTTAAAAATATCTATATTATAGTTACACTGAGTCGTAGAAAAAAAATTAAAGTTTATTAATAAGGTAGTAGATTATTAGAGTAGATTAAATTGTTTGATCTATTAATCAACTTAATAACGTACTATTAATATGAAGATTTATTCTGGTTGTTTGTTTGTTAAAATTTAGTTAGAGTTTATTTAAAATTTAAATTCTTTAGTTAATCAAGAGAGATCTAATAAAGGTATTAATTACATTAGTTGAATGTGGCATATAATATGTATTTTATCGATATAAGGAATAAAATAATAAGGAATAGAAAAATTTTAAAAATTTGCTCTGGAATTTGTCAAAAGAGTGTTATGCTTCATTTTAAGGTATCTAAATATATATTCATTAAAAATTTTTAATTTTGTTTTTAAATGGTTTATTCTTTTTCACTACTTTAGATAAATATATACTGACTGACATAACTTCATTTTTATTAACAATGTCGTGCATTGTAGTCTGCATTCTTTGTTACATTAAAAATAATTGATGCTAATAAATGTTCTTTTATAGTTGTTAAAAGTTTGCATATATGTTTGCATTTATATTATGATCAAAGTTAAAATTTTTTTGATAAATACGTGTATGTGGTGATACTACTCAGGTATCACCGCAGCTTATCTCTATCAGGTACATTGATTTTTAATTCACATATGATGTTTTTCTTTGTATTTACTTATTCATTACATTTTTAACTTCAGATTTATGGTGTATTTATTTGCTATAGAAGAACAAATCATTTTAAATTTTTTAAAAATATCTACACCAATCAACATTTAAAATTCAATGTAGCATATACCAGCTTCTAGGCTTTTTTGATGCTTTTCTTATTCAAGTGGTTTCATAAGCAAGGTCTACAAGCAAATTTGAGATAAAAAGTTTTTCAGCTTTCAAGGAGTATCAATGTTGTTCTCTGTATACTTTAATTTGTTTAAATAGAGTAGTTTTAGTAAATAAATGTTTGTTTGTTCTTGGTTTTTTACTTATTTGTTATCAGATTTAAGTCGACTTATTCTTAAATCACAGTTAGTTTTTATTAAATAATAAACGTCAATTGACGTTTATTATTTAATAAAAACTAACTGTGGTACTATTTATTGGTGAAGAATAATGGCGTGGTTATAATTCTATTATTAATAATGGAAGGTTTATAAAATAATAATTTTCAATTTGCAAAATTATCCCTCTTTGTATTTCCTGCGGAAGCCCTTTGGGACGAAGCTACTAGCAGCAAATGGGTTCCATGTGAAAAGTGTCGTGTATTTTATGTATTGTCAATTATCACAAAACACTTAATTTTTGTAGCTTAAGCTACAAAAATTAAAATAAAAGCTATTAGCATTCCTGGCACACGAACTCAAGTGTTTTGTGATAATTGATAATACATAAAATACACGACACTTTTCACATGGAACCCATTTGCTGCTAGTAGCTTCGTCCCAAAGGGCTTCCGCAGGAAATACAAAGACGATTGATATGGTAGGGATTACAGCTGGCGGCAGGAAGACACTCAATATTTTGACTACTAGATATCTGTGTTGTTTTGTTATATTTATGAGACCGTTTTCAGCGTTTTTTAAGTTTTAAAAGCTTTTTTTTTTTTTTTTAAACTTATGCTCTTTGAGAATTGCTCAGACCAATTTTTTTTCTCTAATAACTTTTCCGGCTTCTTTTTTATCTAGTTTACTTTTTTAGCACCTTGTGTTG